TCTTATTTCATGCTATTTAGGCAATAGGCCAGATGGTTCATCTAAAATGCCTGAATTTGATCATATCCTTCGGAAATTTCTTCGTGCTTTAGCAGGGGTAGTGGAAGAAGTTGAAATATAAGAGCCAGACAGATTGCAGTGTGATTCAGCTTTATCAAGTACCAACTACGTGGGTTTTACCTCTCTGAACCTCACCTATGACAACGAACATATTTACACTGAGGAGTTACTGAAAGGACTAGTTATAAACACAGTTCCTAGCATATAGTGATTACTGAACAAATGTTTCAGAAGGAAATATTAGGCAGAAGGTCTGAGCTTCAACCCCAACCCTTTAAATCAAATAAGTTTCCTAACCTTTCTAAGCCTCAGTTTCCCCAACTGTGAAAACTGTGATTTCCAGGTATTCCTCCAGCTCAAATGATTTAGGATTTTATTAAGAGCCTTGATTCTCATCAGAACTATAAACCCATTTCTATCCTCACTTACCTGTGAGAACCCTCTGGTCGCAGGCAGCTCCTCTCCACCCAGGATGACAAGTCCCACAGTTGTGTCCTGAGAAATTGCCATTGCAGTGGCATGTCCTATTGAAGAACCGCATGGGCCAGCCCTCCCGGTCATCTCTGCCATCGTGGGGGTAGTGGGGACTGTGGGGCCGGGAGTCTGCAATGACAGCCTCGCATCTGCCCCTTCCAGATGATGAGCCACACTGGTCTGTCCCAGGCCCAGACACAGGGGACAGATCCGGGCAACACTCACCACTTCTCAAAGCCTCTACGGTGGCACAGTCCCGTGGGAATTGGGCCCAGGCCTGCTGAAAAAGCAGCAGGGGGAAGAAGATACATCCCAGAGGCAGGAGTTTATGAGCTTCCATTCTGCTTGAAGTAAGAGTACAGAACAGAGATCTGGTTTAGGGTCCTTTACCTAGAGAAGATTAAGGGACACAGATTAAAATCCAGCTGAAGAGGAGAAAGTAAAATGGAATTATGCAAGTTTTTTTGGTACTCTTATAAAAGTGGCAGGAGCCCTTCCCAACTCACCTTCAAAGTGGAATCCATATCTGTAAAATGACATTTCAAACAAATACTAAAAATGGTAATTTATCTTTAAAAATTTGATGTATATAATAACTACATAATTAAATTTCCTGTCCTAGTCATTTAGTTTTCTTCCTTTTATGTGTGTGTGTACACACACACACTTCTCCTGGATATCATTTATCAAGAACATTTATTAGCAGGTCACCACCATTAATTACATT